GCGGTTTTCTGCTTTTGCTGCAGTGGCTGCTGCTGTGGCTGCTGCTGGCCTCCCAGAAGGCGAGCCCGTACAGAGAATGCATTGAGGAAGAGATGGCTTTCTGCTTCAAGAGGTCATTCACATTCAAGCGGAGGTTGATGGGAGAAGTAAGAGCAACCTTGTTGCTATGGCCTCTATTCTTCATTTTGGTAGAGCCGAACTTGGTGGCAGCAAAAGTGGCAGTGGTAAAGGTTAAAGGCTGAGTGGACCGGGGCATGAAGGTAGGGCTGACAGCAGCAGAGTGACCAAAGGGAGGCGATGGAGAGCTGGACACTGATGAGGCTGGGTCACTTATGGGCATAAAAACCTGGACCTCTGGGTTAAAGCTGTTTTTGATCTCCTTATCCAACTCACATCCATTTTCATTATTATCATCCATATAAAGCACCTTCACTGGTCCCTTCTCACCAGTTTGGTCGATCCAAACACTCAGATCCTGCAGCAGATTGCCACGAACATCGTCAATATCCAAACCACTCTCCTTGGACACTTGTTCAGTCATTGGGTCCACTTTCTCCCCCACGTGAATACATCTAAACCCTGATCCTTTGTATGGCTTTTCAGGATACCAGTGTCCTTCATATTTCTTCTTAAAATATGAAGTAATAAAATTTAGTGCTACTTGGATTTCAAGCTGCATAGCTGCTGTGCCACAGTTAGGTTTCTTTCAACTCTCCCACCAAAAAAATGAACGTCACTCCGTTCGTGACAGAGAAAATTTCAAAGTGCTGGTATTAGTAGGTTATCCTTCACCTGGAGTGGTCTTGTTCGCGCTGCTGGGACCACAGATCGGCGCTGGGCGGGGGAGAAGGGGCGTCACGGCAGGCACACGGGAGGGTCAGGAGCAGCGACCTGGCTGAGTGCAAGACGCGCAGGACTGAGGACGAAAGCCAGGGCAGACCGCAGGAGCTCAGAGCTTCTGGCTCCTGGTGGCAGGGACAAGGTCAGGTGAGCGCGCTCACTTCTCCATACAGCCCGGTGCCCGGCCCAGCATCCCCGTGGAGCGCCCACTCCACACCGGGATAGAGCTTCACTCCTTCCTTAACTCAATTTTATTTTCTACAACGTGTTTTTTTCTCAAATTTTTGTTCTAGTTCTTTCCTTTTTATTCCTTTGCTTTTTTTTTTTTCCCCTATTTCTGTTTCCTACTTTCTTTTTCTTTTACCTTACTTTCTTACTTTACTGCTCAGCCCATACCCACTACCAAGAAAAGTCTACATGTGTAGTAGCTAAACATCTGAATATTGTGAGATTTAGAGAACTCTTTGCCTCTCACTGTACAGGTGGTAAAAAGAGTGAAACTACCCTTCATAAATCCAATTTCAAAACTCCTTCAGTGATTCCCACACTGGAGGACGTAGAAGAAGGGAGAAAATAGCAGTGAATTATTTCACAGCAAAGGGAAACACATGAGCTCACAGTTACAGAATCTTTATCCAACAAATCTTTATAGCCAAAAGTGAATATATTATCCAATGACTAAAAATCAGAGAAGAGCCTCAAGGATGAGAGAATCAAGTAATACATTTCCAGCAAGGGAACACTGTAACTGACTCCTAGTAGGGAAAAGTTAGAGGATATTACTGAAATGTCAGAAAAAGAATTTATGGTAACAAAACTGTGAGATAAGAGAAAAGAAACATTGAGCTCCAAGAGATGAGGAAGTCCTTCCATGATATGAAAGAACAAGTCTTAAGTTTCTCAATAAAGAAAAAAACTCCATAAAACTTCCTATTTAAAAAAATAATAATAATCAAACAGAAATATTAGATATAAAGGCTGTAATACTGGAAAACAAATCCTCCCTCAAAAGTATTAAAAGCAGGTTAGACCATGCAGAAGATTGAATCTCAGAAGTAGAAGACAAAATCAGAAATCTAGAAAAAATTATCAAAAATACTGAGAAAATAGCCAAGAAAAATGAGGATAATGTACAAGAAATATTAGATGCCAGGAAACACCCAAACATCCCAATAATTGGTACCCCAGAAGGTGAAAAAACTAATAAGTGCATTAATATGCTATTCCATAAAATACTGGAAGAAAACTTTATAAGTACAAAGAAGAACTCAAACATTCAGACAAAAAAAAAGAAAAAAAAGAAAAAGAAACTCAAATAGAATAAATCAAGAAGATCCTCTCCATGGAACATCATAGCCAGACTGACCAAAACCACAGACAAAGATACTAAGACTGGCAAGAGAGAAACATCAAGACACCTACAAAGGCTATCCCACTGGGCTAGCACCAGATCTCTCATCGGATACAATGCAAGCAAGAAAAGAATGGAGAAATATATTCAAAGTGTTAAATAAAAAACAAAACAAAACAAAACAAAACAAAAAAACAATTTCAACCAAGAATACTATACCCAGGATGATTATCATTCATATGATAATAAAAATAAAATCATTTTATCATTTATATAATAAAAAATAAGAAAGTTTAAAATGTTCTTATATAAACAAAATCTGAAAGAATTCACCAACTCCAAAGCAAGACTTCAAGAAATTCTGAAAGAAGTACTATACCAAGAAAATTAAGGCAGATAGCAATAAGAGAACAAAAAGACAGCCAAGAATATGGCCAATGTAATAATAGGGACAAATCTGGAAATAT